CTTCTTCAGGGCTACGGTTACTGACTAGTCCAACTACAGCAACTGAGTACTATAGAACTTTAGTTGGACTAGTCAGTAACCGTAGCCCTGAAGAAGACCTGCAAAGTCGGGTCGAAACGTCGGCTTTCAATAAAATAGTTTTACCACTATTTAGCCTATTTATGAGCGCAACCCCGGACCATCTTCTTCCTTTATTACCAAAATGAGTTCTGTTGATGAAGAACACATAATTAATTGTCACATTATTAAAGATAATGACAAGGATTCTTAAGGGGTTTATTGTATTTAGACTTAGGATAAATTCAATTGGTAAAAAGAATTTCCCTCATATGTCTATTAAGGGGTTTATTGTATTTAGACTTAGGATAAATTCAATTGGTAAAAAGAATTTCTCTCATATGTCTATTTTTAGCAGTAAATCTGTAAATGTATATGTGCAGCATTTATAAATTGAAATTCCTTTGTAAATAAATAAATATTCTCTGTTTTATCTAATGTTTTTTATATTCCTTTGTTGATTAAAAATGTTTTCTATTTCAAGTTAATTTGGATATTTTTTCAATCAATTGATAGTTGATTGTATTTTATCCTTACAGTTTTATGTTTCACTACTAGTTATTTTTACTTGGTATATCTAGTGTGATAAAATTGAAAATATATTATAGCCAACAACCTCTAATTTCCCAAAAAAGTATTGAAAAATAAATAAAACTAGGGAAAGCTTATATTCTGGACTAATGGAAAATTCAGGTGTGACAAACATTATTACAATTTATCATATTATGATTATTATTCCATTTCAATGATAACAGGTGTATTGATATTGGTAAATAGAAATTTTCAAATTATACAAAAACTAAGTTATACCACTCTGAAACAAATACTCTCCTACCACCAGGCTTAAAAGTAAAATGAACAACTTTTTCTATTTTAGATGCAATATGCAATATCTACATTATGGTAAGAGGTAAACCATTTCATAAAAAATATTTTATATCAATGATCAGAAATGAATCTGTTGATCGAGGATCAAATTTTGAACTATTTAAATTTGTAATAATAGTGGATTTATAATAGTTGGTGTTGTCCAAAATCAGTCTTGGTCATGCACTTTGCAAGATCAAGACCGGAAAAAAAAATCCCTTTTATGTAGAAAAATTAAGGTAAAATAGTCACTAAAACTTGAAAAATTGAGTTGCCATATGTAAAGAAGTGGTATAACCAATATCATTTGGAATTTAACTCTCAATTTTTCATTTGGGCTTAGTTAGGTTTTCCGTATCTGAAAAATTACAGTAATTTCAGACGTCTCATTTCTCTATTCACTAGTTTCATTTTGCTGTGGAGCACAAAATATACTTCAGAGAATTCGTTGTTTACATTGAACAAACTTTGGATCATTATTCTTTCTATAATCTATTCTTACACCACAGAAAGAACCTTAAAAGTAAATAATGATGTTGCTTTTACAACCCTCATTTCTTAATCTGCCTGTGTCCCTTAACAGGGGTGCCCAGAAGGGAGTTTCATGCCACAAGTTGCGCCATCAAAATTTTTAAGGAGGCACATGTTGACTGGATTTTGAATTTTTGAGTGAAAAGTTTCAAAACAGAGAATTGGGAAGAAACATGGGACATACCACTCCAGGTATAATTGTATATGATCTTGGAATTGTCTAATCTTACTTTCGCTTGCATTGCTTTTAAGAAGGGGAGTGAAATACAATTTTTGGAGAGAGGGGGATGGTTCATGCGCCATCGACCTTGGAGGGGATGGGCACCCCTTAAATAGATGTACAGGGAAAGTTTGAACTAATTAATATATTTTACTAATTGAACTAGCGTAATGAATGAAAGAGTTGAGACAAAATATTACGGGAAAAAGATAAGAATAATTTTGGTTATTTTTCTAGAGGGGAGGGCATACAGAAAAAATTTCAATAGAACCTCATTCATCTTCAATAATCTGCATAGACTTTAGATAAAGATATTTTTCCAATCATGTATTTCAACTTTGAAATTATTTTCATTTTTTATATCAAAAAATAATTATAGGCTAGGAAAATCTTAATCTTGGTATCATCCAATTCTCCAAACATGTTAGAACAAATGAATACATTTTCAAGAATTTAGTTCAATAAATACTACTTTACTTAGAGAAGCAAAGATGCAAACATGCTAGTTCCAGCTCAAATTTGTTTCCAAAAAAGTTCGAATCTCTTACTTTCAAATATGAAACTGCTTATTATAAGTAGGTAAAATTTGACACTTTTTTCTTATGTGTGTATTCGCTTCCTAAATATAAAATTTTCATTAAAAACTGTACTGGGTGTCCTGACCCACCCCTGTATGATATGGAAAGGAATGACCCATGGTATTTATTCCATTTAATAAAGTAGAATTTTTATTTATTAAGAAGTAAAGCACTAATTTTTAAAAATATTCTTTATAGTTTGTGTAGATTCAAGAGTTTTTCTAAATTTATGTGTTCTTGGTTAATTTTTGTAATATGGTAATTTCTAATTTCCATATTTCTTAATTCTATTAAGTTTTCTGTGAAGACTTTACACGTAAATTAAGAATACAACAATTTTTATGAATTGAAACTGTAACATAGAAGCACTGGTTGCAAAAGTGGTGTAAGTAATTTTTATAATAAATAATTAATTAAGTATTAAGTGCATTAACTGATTGGATATGCTAGAGACAGATTATTTTTAACAAATAAATTGAATTTATTTATTATTAATTTGTTGAATTTCTCCATAATATTTGATTAATTCAAAACTTCAGTTTTTTACTTACACCATTTTAGTATTCAATGGCTCATGTAGTGTACTAAAGAAAAATCCTTGTATTTAAGTGAATTTTCCTGATAAGTTTTTAAAGAGATAAATTATGATTTGTTGAAGAATTTCTTTAAATGATTGTTATGCAATGATCAAAGATCAACAATACCTCCGAGTGAGGTTGTCACCTACCTCAGCATTAAGATTCGAAAAAAGTTCGAAGTGATAGCTTATTTGGACTATTTGAAAAGTAGAGTGACCATAGCCCTTAACAGATTCAGTTGTATAGAGGGCACCTTTTGGGGTCTCAGATGCCTAGAAACTGTGAGCATTTATAAAGGTTTTATTTTGAGTAGCCCCTGCCTGGAGTCAAAATGGCTCTGCTTCAAGTCACCAGATCGTACAGGACGGTGTCCATAGTATCTCCAAGTGAAAATAGAAGAAGATCGTAGGAGTTGGAAAAGGATTATCTGGGAGGATACAGTAGAAGAGTGGAACTGGGGGTGGTTGACAACTCCAAAAGGAGCAACCCTGAGAAAGTATTTTCCCACCATCGCATCGCGACTAGAAGCAACTTGGGTCCTCCCGGACTACTACACCTCTCTCCCTTTCTGAATATCATCATTTTAAACTCTTCCCGATTAAATGTAAATTCCATTAATCACAATAGTTTTATAAATCTATAATCATAAGTTGAAGTCTATCTGCCATAAAAGCAATGAAGGCTTAAGTACACACTATCCTAATGATATGACATTCACTCCTCCTGCAACACAATCCTCTATATCATTAATGTACCCACTGAAAAGAAATATACTAACATTAAATTGGTTATTTGTGAAATGACAAATGTGCTATTTTTAAGATACAAATGTATGGATAAACAATCAATCTTTACATTAGTTATGTAATGTGTTTTCTGTTACTAAAAGATGCTTCTGCGAATAATGCACCCTGAACAGCTCTCAACTCAAAAGTGGTATGAATGTGTCATTTTTTAAAATAACCTATTCAATTATTCCCTAATAATAATAACATATTATTATGTGATATACAATTTTAATGTTTACAATAATATACATTATTCCCATACTGTATCCCAAATAATATTTCAAGGAGTTCTGTCAATCCTTATTGACTGCACTGCTTGTTTAAGGTTTAAGCTCGTTATTATTTTAACAATTTTGATTGATACTCCTGTGTTACAATTTGTAATATAATGCCTAGTAGTGAACTATATGTTTAGTTCTATAATAATTGCAGATAGCAAAATATATCAAACAAAGTATAACATGTGCCTTATTTTCTTTCTTCTGCAAATTTAAGATAATTATAATAAGTAAGATTTTAATAGAATAATATTTCCTAAATGCTGCCTATATTCTTTAACTAGTTATTGGATATTAATGAGTAAGCCAATAATTTAACTATTGGGTTTTCAAACTTGATGCCCATGTAATTCATTGTGTCATTCTTATCCTCTACTTTATGAACAGGGAATATGATGGATAAATAAAAGCTATTAGGTGTTTCTCCCATTTCAAAGTCTTTATTAATAGAATTGTGTAGTTGTTTTAAGTAAAACATTGCTGTTTTTTTATTTTCAATACATTTTAACATTATTAAACTATTTATTATTTCATTTATATCTTTTAACAATGAAACTGAACAAAAGCATGAACAAAATCATTTCTGACACCAGAAATGAAATAGCAACTAACAGTTGAAGATTAAATGCAAATGAAATTAATGACTGGAAAATGATGATGGTGGGAGAATGGTAGGATTTTCAAAGAAATATGTATGTAGAGGAACTAGGAACTAGATACTGTCAAAAATTAAGTTGAAGTGCAGGATGGTGGGTAGTCGCGGGAATTTCAAAAAGTAGGGGAACGGAGAAGAGTAGTGGGGGCAACAACTGCTAGGCGGGTAATCTAACCTAACCAGGAACTATCATTGAGGATAAGCGCCCCCACCCCAGCCCAAAAAGCTGCGGGCATGATGTAAACTATTACCAAACTCTTGTTTCATGAATTTAACTTTGAGGTTTTTTTTAGAAGTTTTTTATATCAACCCCTTCCTATAATTCTTACTGTGTGGTTTTAGTAGATCTTACTTCCAAGTATAATGTTTTCCCATGTGTCCTCTAGTTTAGTTCGTTTCTCTTTGTTCAATTATTTTTAAGCAATTGGGTCAACAGTGGTAACCGTCTGTTTATCCCTTGTGTATCATTGAAATGTCTCCCAGTTAATTGTCATAAGTTATTTAAGATTGTTTTTGAAATGTCAGTTTTTAGTAATGATGTAAGATATTAAATTACATTCATTAATAGTGGAAATATGCAATCCAAGTAGATCTGATTATTAATTTTTTCTCAGGAGGACGTTGGTGTTTCATCTGATGATATAGATCAAATCAAAAGTAATGGAATTTCAAAGACTGGAACCACTTCTCCTGAAGCATCAAGTACAACAAGTGATTCTCCTACACCAACAAATAGTGTTCATGAAAAAAATTGGTCCTCCCATTGGCAGTCATTAGGTAGGGATTTAAGTCTACTTATTTTACTGGTGACAAGATATATGTGGCTTATGTGTGAAAAAGATTTAAATATGTTGTTTTAGTTTGTGAGGAACAGCGGCAATTATTGGGAACTGAAGAAGAATCATCTGACCGGCAAAGTGATGGCGAGGTGGAAGGTGAAGTATGGGAAATAACACCTGAACAGAGAGAATATTACAAGGCTCAGTTTATCTCTCTGCAACCTGACTCCTATGGTCTTCTCCCTGGTCATGTCGCAAGAGCATTCTTTGAGAAATCTCGATTACCTGTTGCTGAACTTCGAAAAATATGGTAACTTTATCTTTTATTTGTAATCTTTGCCCTTATTTATTAATATATTTTAGTCTGTTTTCTTTGTGATATAATTATTGTTTTTCTGTTAAATATTCAGTGACATATTAGAGATATGAGTATGGATGCAATCTTTGGTTTAATTTACCATAAACTTATAATGGTGATTGGTAGCTGTCAAAGTAATAATTATAAGAAATTAAACATTATATTTCACACTAGTTTATATAAATATGATGAATTTGTGGATTTTATTTAGTTTTTTTCTTTTGTCTTAGTTATGTTATTTATTTAATTTTTATTGAATTTGTTTTGATAACTTAATTGTGCTTTATAGTCTGGAAAAGTACAAGAGATCATGATTATTGGTGGTCAAAAACATCAAAATTTATCATTTTGAATCTTTAAATGTTATGTGAATGCCATAAATAATTTAACATGTAAATTATATCTAAGATCTGGAGATAGAGATTGTATCTGTAGGTTTTTTATGATAACAAAGTTGGAAAATAGCCATACATTTTGTCTAAATCAGGGAAGTAAATACTGTTTCCATACTGTAGTATCTTTCTTCAATTTTAATAAATTTTAGTTTAGCTAATTTTGCGGTTAAAAGAATGAAAGAGAGTTTAGCTGAACATAAACGGATTAAATATGTACTGCTTTGCACTTTCAGTGAGGTATTGATATTGCCTAGTTTTTTAAGTTTGTAAGATTCTGATGGGCTGGGTATGTGTAGAGATTCTCTAAGTCAATATGACCTTACTAAGAATTATATGGCCAGAGAAGATTGTGGTTTAGATGGTTGAATTCTGTCTGAGGTAGTGAGTGTCCTTCTGGGCACTCGGAAGTGGACGACTGTGGTAAAGGACTGTGCATTACTGGCAGAGGCTGTTAGAGGAGGTCTGAGCTCGCTGACGGGCTTTAATAATGATGATTATGATTGATATCATATTGCGATTGAAAATATATTTGAGGACTTATGTAAACTTGTAAATTGTTATATGTAAACTTTATTATCCTAATTCTGGCAATCCATTAGGTATTATATGAATAAAACAAGAATTATTGCTAGTAAAGGGTAACATACTGTAAAGGGATCTCTCAGGAATAGAATAAATTACTGTAGGTTTTTCTTCTAACTCTTAACCACTTTCACTGGAAGAGTAGTGGGAACCAGTTTAGAAAAGAAAAATTTGTCACTGTAGAATAATAACAAACAAATTAGACATATTAGACTGACCAATATAAACAATGTTTCTTGCTGAAACGTAGATTCTGTTAATGCATTATTGCCTTTCAAAGATAAAAATCACAAATTATCTTTTGTTTTATTATGAGAATTATTTATAATGATGTAGAGATGGTTGACTGTTGATGTAATATGAGGAGGAGTTGATCGGGGGGTGCAGTCAACTCCTCAGAGAATTATTTATATTTTAATGAAGTATATGTTTGCATTTATAAGAAAATTTATTTATTTTTTTTTATTCAGGCAGCTGTCAGATGTGAGTAAAGATGGTGCTTTATCTTTGGAAGAATTTAATACAGCTATGCACCTAGTAGTTCTCAGAAGGAATCAGATACTGATACCAGATGTGCTTCCCCCACCGTTGATTCCTGCTAGTCAGGCTTCTCCTCATCGGGGCAAACAGGTTTCTGTTATATCTTTATAAATTTATCTAGATTATGGCCGGTATTTTGTATTTATATTTTATTGTACATGAAACGCTATAATATGAAGTGCTAATAATTTTGTTTATTTTATTATTGCCTCATGTGGATTCAGTTTTCAATCATTGACTTATATAAATGTTGAATTCCTTGTTTTTTTTGTTTCTGACTTTTTTGATCTCTTATTACTTCTTCTCATATTTCATTTGTTACTTAAGTGTTTCTAATTCATTTGATTTGACCTAGGAATTACGAATTAGGTGTGCTTATTGCTATCTCCATTATTATTATACAATCTTATAAGCCTGGTTTCATCATGAGTTGACTATACATAATCTAATTTTCTCAACTTAGTTGAGGGAAATACTGTTATCAATTAAATATTTATTTAGGAACATCATTTAATTAGTATGTATTAATGTCTCTCAAATTCAAAAAGTGATTTTCTTAACATATGTGATCTTCATTCAAAATGTGTTCTTGAGTTTGTCTGAAAGCTGCCAGTTTTTTTTTTTCAGTATATGTTTTCCATTATGTTCCTCAATCTCCTCTCAACAATCTCTGTAACTAATTTAAACATAACTTGGAGTAGCAGAGAGGCCTGTAGTTTTAGTATAGAGTCTGGCATCCTCTACTTGAGCTCTGCTGAAGTTACTTTCCATTCTGGCATTGAAGTCACCCATCAGTATGACATATGTTTTGTTATCTTAGGCTTTTGGTAATTCTATTACCTAGTCAGTATAGAATTGTTCATTTTCTGTTATATCATAATCTTCTGTTGGGATTTCTACTTCTATTAAGGTACCATAAAGTTTGAAGAACATCACATTTATTGTTATTAGTTCCAGAGGTTACTGGGTTCAATTCTACTAAAGAATAAAGTTGAGAGAAGACCGTTCTTCGTAATTGACTCTTTCTTTAGCCTCGTTTCCAATTGAGGCTCCTGAATTTTCCCTTCTTATTCACAAATTTATTCACTCGATATGTCAGCATCTCCTTGTTTGTTTTTATGTCTTTCTAAGTAATTGTCCTTTCACTCCTTGAAGACATTCTGTAAGTTCTTATGAGTTCACATACATGTTAAATAGGATTCTGTCTAAGTAGAGGGATGGGTCAGTGATGGGTGCAGTTAGGGTGGATTTGGTTTCACTTCTTCTGAGGTGGAGATTCTGGCTGTGGCATTTACATATTTTCCTTGCTGCCAACTGTTGGATAAGTTTAGAACCAATCCTACTGTTGACTGTCGCACTCTCTTGGGATGGAGGAGAGATAAGTGGATAAAAGCCAATAGAATAGTTGATTCTATAATGTTGGAGTAGGCACAAAGTACATTTAAATCATTAAGTATTGATGGAATTTCCCTGCCCTTACTACAAAAGGGCTTAACTATAATAAAACTCTTATATATATATACTCAAGCTATTTAGTGGAAATATGCTTGTCTTCATTCCAAATAGTTGGTGAGTGGTAAAAGTTTGTTACATACCTCAATCTGGGAAAGAGTCTTATGAGAATCCCCTGGCCTATTATGTGTGGCTTCATTCCTGCTGAATGTTTTAAAAAAGATAATGTACTGGCATTTAGAGATTCTTTGTAAACAGAAAGACTGGTTCATTGTGCTCAATTTGCTTTTCAAGCTGGTAAATCTTGTAAGACAGAATTGCACCACTTGGTCTCTTGAATTGAGAAAATTTTAGCTCAGAAAGAGATTATGACTGGCATCTCTGTTGATATAGAAGGTGCCTTTGATCATACTCCTTATGATTCTATGATGAAAGGTCTAGAAACGAAAGGAGTTGGACTCTTGGCTTCCAGATGGATCAATTAGATTTTGAAGGAGAGAGTACTTAAATTTCAGTTGGTACAAGCTGAACTGTGGATCAAATCTGTTGGGGGCTGTTCTCAGGGAGGCATACAGTTTTTCCTTTTGTTATGTTTGGTTGTAAACTATTTGCTAACCGAACTAAGTGCTGCATAGTTCTATAATTAAGATCATACTGATGATATCACCGATTTAGTTAGGGGAAAATTTCCAGATACAATTTCTGGATTGCTCTAAATCACCTTCTGAAGACGTGGTGCCTGGATAATGAACTTGTCATAAACCCACAGAAGGTGAACTTTACATCTTCAATAACAGAAGAAATATCACAATGAGACCGCCATCTTTGAAGGGAACTCTGGTAAATATCTGTAGTAAAGTTTAGCATCTTGGTAGTAAATTGAAATAGCTAAGCCATTATGTAAAGATCAGCTCAAAGGCTTTTGGAACAATTAGTAAATCCTGATGCCAAAAACCCAGAATGGCCATGTGGCTATATAAAGTAGCAATCAGATCTTTAATGTTATAACGCTAATGTAGTGTAGTGGCATAGGGCAACTGCAAGCAAGCCTAGAGCTTTGTTTGTGAAATTATAAAGGCTTGCATGCCTTATGACGATTGGAGCTATGTCTACCACTCCCACTACTGCTCTGGAAGTTCTTCTGAACTTAATCTGATTGGATATAGAAGTATCATCTTCAAATTGCTTATAGGATTGATAATTTTAGGACAAGATCAAAATCCCTGACTTTTCAGAGACATGAGATCGTGTTTGAAAAGATTGATAAGAACGAGGTACTTGCGATGTGCTCTGACTTTCAAGTTAAAGAACTATAGAGATATGTACTATAGTGTAAAAATTGGCTGGAATAACTCTGACCGACCCTATTGGAGTTAATTGCCATCATACTTATGTGTTCTTGACAGAACAAGATTCAGGATTGACTTCTGAATAATGAATAAACCCAATGAGGGAATATCCCTGACTCTAGGCAGATATACATATGTATTTTAGGCTGATTTATTAGCCATTAATGCTCAACCTAAAATAAAGGATGGAGTAATGAACAGGTTAGCCAAGGGGCTATTGGTGCCTTAAATTTACTTAGAGCTATGCAACTCCCTCTAACTTGGTCAATGAATGTAAAGGAAATTAAATATTATCTCTAAAACCAACACAATAAGGGTTGAGTTAGTTCCTGGGCATTCAGGAATTTTAGGTAATTAGAAGGCTGTTAACTTAGCTAGAAAGGGCTCAGCACAAGTGCTTTTAGCTCTGGAGCTCATCTGTGGTATTAACCTCAATAATGCCAAAAGAATTATTAAGGTAGCTGTTGGCTATAAAACCAAGCTCTTTTGAGAGCACATCAGGAAACAAACACATTCTAAGTTGTTTCCAGAAGGACCCTGTCCAAAGAGAAGTGTATCACTTCTATTTATAATATACAGGTCACTGTTGACTCAATAAGCATCTCTTCAATCTGGACTTAACATAGGTACCTACCTACCTGCAACTGCATTGCCTGGTGGATGAAACCACCTACGACATTATATCTAAATGTGTGATTTGGCAAGGCTGTGTTATTTTCATTTTGGAATTGACTGTATTACTAATCCTAAGGTCCGCAAATGTATTGATCCCACTTATGCACTCATTATTTATACAAGTCCACAGAGGATTCTGGCCTGTTTTCACAGAGAATATGATGGCTCACAATAGGTCTCAATGAGGCAGCTGTGCATCTTACTTGTCGGGATATTAAAAAAGTCCTTATGAGTGCCATATTGTAATCTTTTAGAGTGATTGAATATGAGGTTTTGTAATTCAATTACCCACTTTTGTGGTAACACACACTAAAAGAGAACAATATACAATATCATCTGGGCTCCCTATTTCATTTGTTCATTGACACTATGTAATTTTTTGTTGACTATTCACTGAGACTTAATAATATATATATGTGTGTATTTAATGTACCTTATGCAGTTGGATTTTTAAACTCTTAATAACTTGTTTAATATATCACTACTGTTAGTGCAAAAGGTTGTATTTAACAATTTTTTAGGTTTATTCTATTTTTGTTAAAGGTGACATTTTGTTGTCTGCAACTGCAATAATGCTACTATGGAAAATAGTATAGGGAAATAAAATGTGAAATTATACTAATAAATTATAAAGAAATAATCAGTTTATATGCTCTTTTGTAAAATAACTCAATAATTATGACCTTTGCACTAACACTAGCGATATTTCTCATTATAAAGTAAAAAATAAATAATAAAATAAAAATGATTGAGACATTGAAATTATTTGAATTTATGTATACTTCTTATTTCATGCATTTTAGTGGACTAAGTTTGTTGAATCGCCCACAAGTTCTATCTCATCTCCTGGACCAAAACCTGTAAATTTTGATTTTCACAAAGCAGCTGTTGAGCAGGTAATTTATATTTTACCTCATTTTAACCTCATGCTAAATTATTGTCTATGATTACTGTGCCATTTACTTATTATTTTTATTAATTATCAGGTATGAATTAATATATTACTCAAGTTATAGTCTTAATTTTGAAAGGTATTAATTTTCTTATAATTATGTCACAGTCTGTTGACCTGGAACCATTAAGATCTTTGCACAATTTTTATTACTTATTTTATTATTTCTGATTCTTAAACCTTTTCCCTCTGATATTTGAATTTTCATAAAGTAGTTAAGCATTAACATATCGATCGCTTACCCCTAATACGTTTTAATATTCTAAAAACAAATTTTACACCAGGAAACTGATTACTTTCTTTTTACTTGAGGAAATTTAAAATTTTGATTTTTTTTTTGTTGTGTATTGGAAAATAGCTGACATTGTAAAAACATAACACTTCACACAAGTACTAAAATAAATAAGTGAGTATTAGTTACTTACACAGTTTTGCTATTCTAGTCAAATGGACTTACAAGATTTTAAGAGTAAGCCATTGGTATGTTTTTTAAGAAAAGTTTTGTTGTAGGTATTCAAAGAATGTCCATTTAATCATATTCATTCTATTTGACATTGACCTATCTAATTATTTTGTTGTAATCAGTGGTTGATAGTATCGACTGCAATTTAGTGTTGACATTCTGTTATGTGTTTTGTTATATTTTAGCCATTGGACTGTCATATAAACTCAGAGCTCACAATTTTACTCTTTAAGAATGGTGAGTTTTATAAATATCTTAAAATTTAATTGGTTAATGTAACTAAAAAAGGCAACATTAAATTGATGTATGATGTATATGTCAATTGTAAATATTTGTTGTCTATATTAATTAATTTTAAGTCTGTTATATTGAAGTATGTTAGCAAATATTAAAAGTCAAAATAATTTTAAGCACATTTTTTTTTGGTAATATTGATTCTAAATTACAGTTAATGTCTCCTAGGAAGAAAAAAAAAAAAAGATAAATATTTATTATTTCTACTTATTTAATAAATAAATGAAAGAATTTAACCATTATTGTCACACCAAATTACTACCATAATTGAATATTTGGAATATTGTTGGTTAATTAGTTTTTTTTAAAAAACATTTTTGCAATATTTGATGCCATTTGTCATTTACTTTGATTTTTAGTTTTAACCATGTATCACATCTATAATAAATTATTATATTTCTTTAATATATATAATAAATTTATAAATTTTAGAAGTTATTTGATTCTGGTTTATGGTATAATAAATTTAAACTAAATCAAAAAGTTTGGTTACAATATTTATTTTGATATAATGTATAAATAACAAGATTTGTTTAATAATTGATAAACATAATTAATAAATGATTAATTTATTTAAAATAAAAAAATAGATAAGGTGCAATAGTGTTGTTTTAAATGTGAATATTCTATTAATTTCATCTCTTGGGAGACTTTATCAAAGAGATAAATTTCCTGGAATGATATTTCTAATTGCCAAGGACTCATGGGTTTTCCTCTGCATTTAGTCCCACCACGTTAGTTATTCATTCTCCACTTCATATTGGCAGGATTATTATTTATCAAAAAGTCATCCTGTTCTTAACAAATTTCAGGATCCAAAGATTCTGCACCCGGTAGCCCTGAGGCTTACCCCTGGACCAGAGGTGGATGAAGGTGCTCCGATATCTGAAATCAGACCAATCCAAAGGCCTCAGCCAAAGAAGCATACAGGTAATACCAATATATATTAAATATTAATTAATTACTATCCCTGAACAAATTTAAAATAAATTAACTTAACTACTAATTAATTATTTTTTGTTTTTATGAACTAATAAATAATAAAATTCTGTTTGTTAGGTATATTATACCCCTTATCCTACTTGATTGATAAGAAGCGTTTATTAATAATATTTTTGAAGAGCTTATTAATAATATTTTTCTGTTATTTATAAAATAAAATTCTAGAGATAACACTAAAGCATATATTTCAAATAAATATTTTCATTTTTGTTTATGTAAGATATTAAATTTATTCTCCTTTATAATTACTTTGTTCATAGTAAACAAATATTTCAATTATAAATATTTTTATCTATACTAATTAAGATTGTCTATTATATTGAAGTATGTTAGTGAACAGTAGAGTCAAAATAATTTTAAATACATTTTATTTGTTTGGTTATATCGATTTTTAAATTACATTAATGTCTTCTAAGAAAAAAAAAAAGATAAATATTTATTATTTCTACTTATTTAACAAATAAACTAAAGAATTTAACCGTTATTGCTGAACAATATTACTGCTATAATAGACTATTGTTTAATATTTAGAATATTGTTGTTTAATTTATTTCAAACAAGTTTTTTCTCAATACTTGCCACCCTTTATTTGCAATATTTTGGTGCAATTATTCGTTTTCATTGATTTTTAATTTTAACCATCTATCAATAATCACCTGGTTTTTAGATCAAAATCTATTTATAATAGTCCGTGTTAATAATTCAATATAAAGGGTTTGTACCATGGACTATAATTTTTACATACCCTCAAAATATTGATCATAATGAAAAAAGTTTAACTATGAAAAAACAATTATGATTGAAAACTCTTTAGTGATAACATATTATTATTTTTAGTAATTATTTCTCTTAAGTATTAGAATTTTTCTCTCTTAAGATTTTCTGTGAGTGTTGTGCAATAAGAATTTATTTATTTGTTTTTCTTTTCCCATAAATAATGAAAATAATAATTGAATTATAATTTTGTTTTCGATAGGTAGCATATACTTCTTCCTGCCTTAGGTAATTGGGAAAATAAATTAAAATTTTTAAGTTAAATGATTTTTTTATTTAAATATTTAATTTTTATTATTATTTTAATATGTATTAGGCATATTGTGAGTTACATATTTTTCTATAATTATTCTGTCTATTAATTTTCATATCAATAAAGAAATATAAGAGATATCCATTGCATTAAAAAATAAATAAATTGAATTTAAATATTTTTAATTGTAAGTTAATAATTTTTTGTTAGAACTATGAAAATTGCCCGATTAATTCATCTGAGGAACAAAAATAAGATAAATTATAATTTTTAATTTAAGTTAAAGTCCATTGTTTCATCTATTTTGATATAGAATCATGAAGTATTATTGTATCGTATTTTCATATTGCGATTCATTTTATGTATTTTTTTGTTTCAATTGAAATTTTTAAAGTTTGAATTCTTTTTTTTTTTATCCAGCCCCAGGTCCTGGTGCCATTCCTCCCCCTCCTCTTCAATCATTGCCCGATGAAAGTGTATTGTAAGTAATAATAATTAATTAATTCATTTTTATTGTTTATAATTAGTAGTCTTTTGACCAAACATTTTTATTAATTTGATTTTCGAGTATTACAATTCTTAGAGTAATGATTATGAAAGTATAACTTAAATAAAATTTTTATTGAATTTTGGTTTAAAAAAAATAAATAAAGGGCTGTTAAATTCTAACAAAGAATAAATTTCTCTAGAAGTAATAAAAAGGAACCTCCCCCACCACCTCCTCCGAGGCCTTACAGGCATCATACAAGGAGCTCTTCATTGGATCTTACTAGGTTAGGTAAGTGTATATATTCTGTTTCATCTATTTTATTTATTAGATTTTTGTGCGTTTATGTACAGTTTTATTCTTATTTTAAAATCAAGCAGTTTTTTATCTTGTTTAAAATGATTGAGGACATTATATGAATCTTTTCTTTCGAAAGTGAATCCTAATTATCGTTGACAAATTTTCAGGAAAAAACATATTTTCCATTTAAAGTAGTAAAGCACACATTTCTAAAAAAAACCAAAAAACAAAAGACTATTCACTACTTAGTAAGGAAATAGTGTTTCTTGGTCAACGGTGGTGATGGTTGGTGACTTCACTGAAATCATGTTCAACTGCGTATTTTTTCGTCTTAATTATTTCAGTAGGAGTTCCCTCTTTATAGAGGCTAGGTACGTTTCAGGGTTCATCCATGGCTTGTATATTAGAAAAAACATTTACCTGTCACAGCCGGACTTGGATTCAAACCTTGTACCTTGAGCATAGGAGCACATCGCCTTTCTCATACTCCCTACGTATTTAAAAAAATTGTTAATTATTTTAGTAATCATTTGAATTTTAAATAGAGTCACTACTGAAACAGATTAAACTTCAATGATGTTTTTGGAACAAACAAGATTAACAGGGGTTCAGTTCGTAAATAGCAAAATAGTTTACATTTTGGAAGGATGTACCTTCAGAAGCCGATCTGAAGGGACTGGGTTTGGACGTCGAATGATGGAGAGAGGTGTGCAATAAGCGATTGGTGGTCTCGGCATCGAACCTTCGGATATTCTAAGCCTTTTATTATTATTATTCCCACAACACTATTTACAATGAGTCTCTTACCTATGTATATGTTACTATTAGAGACCTAACTTTATTGTTGCTCTATCCTTCACAAGAAAACTGTAACTAACCATTAAAATATATGGAAACTGAAAAAAAATAAAATAACGGTAAACCAGAATCACTAAATAGAAATAAATAATTTTTCTTACAAAAGTACATTATAAAACCTGAACTAAATTAATTTGGACTGTACAATCATTTTTTTCTGCTTCCTTGCTACCAAAGGTAGAGAAGCATTGTATTCGTGCGAGAGGTTAAAAACAATTATGTGCTCAGAATCGAAAATTTTCACTCACGTTTTACGTTTCAGACATCAAGGATCAAGTTTGGTTTGGTGTCTGTTTATCTGTAGTCAAATCGATGTGACAGGCATATCACCTAGTACCATTCATCCGATTTTCATGAAATTTTCCAGGATTGTGCGGATTGGTGCCTAGATGGTCCCATATCAATTATATCAAATTCCATCTAGCACTTCCGCTTGCTTACTCTCGCCCACACATATTTTTGGAGATATACCAATATTTCAGAAACAACTCGTTCGATTTGGCTCAAAGTTGGATAAAAAATAGGTATTGGTGAAAAAATAATGTAGTGTCAATTTTATTGAATTCTGTCCACTACTTTCTCTTATATACGAGCAAACATATTTTCCTTGATCAGTCTATATCTTTAAAATAACTCTTTCGATTTGGCTCAAATTTTTTGGAAAGTTAGGGATTGGTAAACAGATAATCAAGTATGTATGAATTTTATCAAATTCTGTCCACTACTCCAAAAACAAAAAATTCTTCCACTTTCAGATCAGGAAATTTATTATTTGACACGTCTATAGTTTTAAAACTGCGTGTTCGATTTGATGCAGCTTGGAGGAAATTTGGAGAATAGTATAGAAATTACCTGTTATCAATGTCATTGAATTCCATTTAATATTTAAAATTAGTATAAATAATTGTTAACAATATAATGGCTATGAAATGTGGAAGGCATTGATCATCTGGAGAGGTTAACACAATATTTTTATGGAGTTATAAAATTTTAGGTTTTATTCAAAAAGTTAAATTAAACCGTATCGTTGGTCGATTCCAAGTGCTACTGGCATGACAGTTACTGTCGTTACTTATATTTTGTGTAATTTTCACTAAATTTAAATTAATTTTTGCCCTGAGTTTGTATAAAAAAAATTCTTATTTGTGATTGTGTTTATTACTATGGAAGTTCTACTCGCTTGTCGTTACTTAGATTTTGTGTAATTTTCACTAAATTTAAATTAATTTTTGCCCTGAATTTCTATTAAAAAAATTCTTATTTGTGATTGTGTTTATTACTATGGAAGTTCTACTCGCTTGTTGTGGTTTCGATTCCATCCTTAAATATCAAAGTTGTGTGAACTTCACACGTATTTTTATATTACAGTTAATTCCGAACAAACAAAAAGTAGAATTTTTCCTATTAAGTATATATCACTACTGTTAGCGCAAAAGGTCGTATGTAAATATTTTCAACTTTTATTCAATTTGGTGCTAAACGTGACATTTTGTAGTCTGCAACTGATATGAGCAGTCTGCTATGATGGAAAATAGCAGAGAGCAATAATAATAAGCAATGTGAAGTTATACTAATAAATCATAAAGAAATAATTAGTTTTTATGCACTCCTGTAAAACATTCAATTTTTACATACGGTCTTTTGCACTTACAGTAGTGATATTAATGTTCAGTATGCTCTGGAATTTTTTTAAAATCACAAACCATCAAATATGCAATCTGCAAATACAGAACTATCTCATTTTAGTATTCAAAGAACGAAACCCGTATAAGTTGAGGGATTACTGAATTTTCGAAAACGGCTTCTCCCAGACATTTTATTCTCATACAAAAAAATGTTAAACCTTGTAATATAAATATTTTTTATTTAATGAAAATGTATACGGACCTGACTTGGCAGACTTCTTTTTTTCTTATATTTGTTTATTTATTTTTTAGTGCAGTGTTAAGCCTCTCTAAAAATGCTTTTGTTTTGAACTTTTAAGTTGTTCTAATTTCTTACTTTAACTTTTCATATTGATAAAATAGACTAGCATCTACTTTGCTACTTACTAATAACCATTTTAAATTCAAGATAGCCCTAATCTGAACACACAATTTTACTATTTGCAAATATCTTATATTTTTTTTTCTGTTCTAATGATTTTAAATGTTGGCTAGCTAGTTTAGAGACCTGAGACTTTGGATTAGGAATCTTGCAATTATATCTTAACAATTATATTATTCTCACTTATCAATATAATATTTTAAAATTTTTTTCTGATGATTATAAATTAAATTATATAGTTTTATTATCAATATTGTTTCAATTTTATTTAAAATTTTTTAGCTTTAAGTTAATGCTTAATTCTCCTTATGGTTTAATGTTTTCTTTCTTATTTTCTTGTTAGGAAAATCAAGTTTACTCAATATGCCTCCAACTGTTCCACCAAGAATATCTCCTGGCACTGTAAGTATTCTCTTATACATTAGTAATTTTTTCTCTCTATCTAAGGATGTATATAATTTAAAAATTTTATGTTTTGATCCACAATTGGAATAATAATTTTAAATATTTGTTGTTCTTTTAGGTCTCACCTCGAAAACAAACCGAAAAATCTACGAGTGAAGGTGAGGTTGGATTTGCAAACTTTGCCCAGTTCACTGAAGACCAAGGGAAACATCAAGTATCAGCAGGTGCTTTTCAAGTCTATAGGAAACCAGGTAGGCTATGATAAACTTTAACTGTTAAACTTGCTTCTGTGAACTTCAACTTTTAACTGGTTTAGCGTGCTCCTCCCTTTTCTGAATCCAGCTTGGTGGTCGCCTATTATATTTTCGTAATACGGATATATCCTGTTCAGTAGGATATTGGTCGTTATCTTGTAGGTAACCGGAAGGAGTGCTATGCCTCTGTAATTCGTACACTCATACATAGAGCCTTTCTTTAGGATAGACAATTTTAGGCCTGTATTCCAAGCCTCAGGTATCGTTTCCTCTTCCCATATTTTCTGGATTAGTTGTAGTTGGCTCTTAAGTCGTCTCTCTCATCTTTAAACAGTTCTGATGGTAGATTGTCTATCCCTGGGACCTTTCTTGTTTTGAGCCTTTTGATAGCTATTTCTACATCCAGTATATGCGTTTTTTCAACCTCTTCTGGGTCAAGGTCCTCAGTTTGGTACATGTCTTCTTCGTTTGTGGGGTCCCCTTGATTGAGAAATTCCTGGAAATGTTTTTTCCATCTGTTCAATATCTTTTCTTTAAATGCTGTCAGAATCTTATATTTCTGTTGCTCGTTTTATATCCTACCCTTTCTTTCCTAATGTCTGCATAGAATTTGCGTATATATCCAGCCTGCCAATTATTCTCAATGGTTTGCGACCTTTCTTTGAGGAGTTCCCTTTTTGCCGATCTTATAGTTTTGTTTGCCCTTTTCTTAGCAGCTGTGTACTTGTTCTTAATGCAACTTAATCAGTTGCAGTTATCACTTCCTTAGCTGTTTATTTTAGTCCTTTCTCTATTTCCTCCCAGTGTTGGTCCACCGTGAGGCTATCCGAATCCAAGGGTTCGAATTTATTTTTCAGCTCAAGTTGGAATTTTGCTTTTACATATATATATATGTTGTAATGTTCTCGTTCCCTTCAGAAGTAAACAACCAGTTTCTTATTCAAATAACATTTATTTCTCACTCAATAATTAATTCTCAGGTTGGGTATAGACAACTAGCACACATCCTCAATTATACAATAAAAAGGCATACACGATTTTATAACACTTATTAATAAATTTCCATTCTATTTGTCGGGGTCTAATCTCGGCGCGCGTTCTGTCTGTCCATTTATATATTCTTCATTCATCCCGTGATGCAGCTACTTCTCTTCTGTACTGGTGCATTCACTTCCACAACCTTCTACTGTTGACACTCACTACTTGGGGACCAACATCTTCTCACCGATCCTGGTTCCTAGCTGGCTGGCTATCTTCTGTCTTTAACCTATGGGACTTGCTTTCCCCGCCCTCTGTACTTCCTGTCAGTAGTTTGTGATGTCCCCATCTTCACGCCAATATTCAAAAACACTATGTAATATTGACATTACAAATATATATATATATATATTTTTTATATATTATAATAATCAGTATTTGTAATATTTTATTTTCAGCTTCTGATACTTCAGAGCCTGGGAATTGGTCACCAGCTGAAATACCTTTGGATGTTAAGTAAGTATTACATGTTTTTCATACCAATATATGAGATTTTTTTTTATTCACCATTCTTAACTGCTTTTGTTGATATTTGGAGCAGTAAAATGTTTTGGAGATCTGAGAAACAACTATCTGTTGCAAGTTAAACAGCATACAATTTTTGTTCTGAGCTGTGCATACAGCTTGTCCTTATTCATTGCCTTTGTCACTTTACTATAGTTAAAGGATCATTTGTTGTACTTTTCAACACCTGTTCATTCCAGTGACCTTCCTGGAATAGCAACACTTCTCCTACCCAAAGAGAACTGGATTGGATTAAAAAGGGTAGTTCTTATAAGCTGGAGAAGATTTCTCTCCATAAGAACATTTAGGTCTAGTTTCACTCAGGAGCTTGACCTTCAGTATCTCGTAGGAGGTATGTCCCATGAGGAAGTGTGAGACCCAGCAGTCTGCGATAACTCATGTGGTTTCCAATACAGAGGAGAAGTAGTCCCTTAGTTCCTCCTTTTTGAATTACCACCCATCACCGATTCCATTCTCCCTAATTTTTTTTTATTTTTTTTTTTTTGTTCTCTCCTACCTCATCTTTTTAGGCTATACGGGGGTTTTCCTTTTCCCAGGCTGGTGGTGAGGGCAGGGAATTTAAAAGGCCACCCAAGGCACCGGGATGCAAACTCGTAGTTTTTATTGTCTCCAACTTTGGTTATCAGGTTGCCAGACAACGCACAGTGCTGTGCACACACGTTAGTCACACGTCGGCCACCTCACCCCTAATTCTCCCTAGTTGTTTTCCTGAAGGATTCTCATCCATCTGCTGGGGTCTTAACTGATCTACACTTGAAGGTTAGCTAGCAAATCTGCCAGAACTTTCCCCTTATCTTATTTTATAATTGATTCATTTGGTTAATAGATAAATACATCTGATTGTTATTTAGTATGATATACTGATATTGTAAATTTCGGAATATATTAGTGAAATTCTTGGGTTTAGAGGAGGCCCCTGATGTAATTTTTTTATTATTTTATTTTGAATTGCTAAATTTTAATAAGCTATTATTTTTTATCCAGGGTTGAAGTGAGGGAGGCCCACAATGCTGTTCTGAGGAAGCACTGCCATGAACTCCAACTCAGCTTAGCCAATCTTAGGGAAGAGAAGACAGCCCTTCAAACAATCCTAGATCAACTTGTTTCTCATTGATCTTCTGAAATTTGTAAAAAGATGTTATAGCATTTTTATCCCTAGGTTTTATGAATAGTCTAAGGGTGTTGTACTCTTTCTAATCATACTTTAACAAAGTTGAGTGAATTAAGTTGAAACTATTTTATGAGTACATGAGATGAGTTCAAAACACAATAGGATGGAATCATTGTTTTATTTGTGTCAAAAACTTTGAAAATCAGTATGATTAATTAATTTTAATTATGAATATTAGAATGATATTAAGATATATGTTCGCTGAGGGTAAAGGGCGCTCTCCTATGTTGCTAGACCTTTTTTCTGTTTTTTTTTTTTTTTTAATTTTATTTCATATTCTGATTAGTTAATTATAATAAGTGACTTATTTGGTTACTAAGTGCTATCATGTTATTGAGTTAATTGAATGGAGTAGAGCTTTTTATCTTAAGATAGTAATCTCTTTACAGCAGTATTATTTTAATTTTAAAAACTTACAAGTGAAGTTTACTGAATGAAAATTCATTTTCTTACTTGTAAAATAGTTGTAGCCTTTACCCTATGCTTTGGATATTTAATACCTCTGAAATATATTTTATTAAACCTAATTTATAAAACAAGGCATGTTTGGATAGTGAGAGGACTAAGCTTGGGAATCTCTTAAAAATTCATCTAACTTTTAAACTATATTTGGTATTACACCTCATTTTGACTTATATGGCCATTGTAATCACAATCACATTGAAACGCAAACAACTATTTTATAAATTCTAGTTTATCAAAACACCAACACTATGTTACTTGTACCAACAATTCCTGAGCCTTAGTTGTCATAACATTTTCTGCCTGTAATATGTTTCTTCGATCGATACCGAGAAGAAGCCAGTGTGGGAATGATGCTTAAGTTCTTTGTTAAAGGATTGTAGTAGTTCTACATGAGATTCTACATTTTTGAAGAAATGTGATATTAGTTTCACTTTTTGTTCTTGATTACTGTAGTCAAACATTTCCTTCTTGGTGTTTTACTTGTATTTTGTGATTCTTATGTTTCATCTCATGTCGCTATTCAGTCCAACAATATTCATAGAGATAAAGAAAAGATCAAGCTGCCATAACACAATCTGTAAACTGTCTTGGTTTGTATTCATTGAGTACATTGTTTGGTCCTTTTGTATTAATCAATTACTAAACGTGTTTGTTGCATTTAGAAAAGTATGTTAAACTTCTATATAATCTTCAATTTTAATTTGCTGATAATTAGAAAGCATTTCATTTTCAATTTATCTGTGGCTCTTCATCTATTACAACAGATGGTCTCTACCCATTTATGCATTATAACTTTTATTCTGGAGCTGTTAAATTTGTGGCCTCATATCACCAATCATTGCATTTTCATCAAGAACAGTATATTATTGATAAATTTTGGGAGTTTGTTCGTCATTTGTCTAAGATATTGAATCACTTTTGGCAGAAATGTATAAACACTGTACAGTAATCACTTAATGTTGCTTAGCACTATATCTGAATAACTGATTGATGTATTGTGTAACCCATCTTTATAAACATACTTCGGATGCCAACTCTTGAAAAATGAGCTTAAATTTGTTTTACCAGCTTTTTACTTGTACATAGTTAATTGAAAAAAATAATAAAAAATGAATTCAGGAATGTATTTTCTATTGTGAACTTCAGATAATTTATTGCATAGAAATAATACTAGTTTTATAGTCCCTGTATTCAATTTTAATATTATTAAATTTTTTGGTATTTTATTTTATTATTTTATTTAAATAATTATTGTTATGTTTTAATTTATTATTTTATTTTACAGGTGTGTTTTATTTCATAATTCTATTCTTTTTTTAAATTGTTTTTGTTAGTAACTCCTTTGTTCAAAAATTTAATTTAAAAAAAAATGTTATCCACTTTTTTCTCTATGAAAAAATGAGTTTTTGTTTTATTTAGCTCTTCGATAAGTGACTAATAATCATATTAAAATTTAAAATAATGAACTATTTTTGATATGATCTGTTTTATAACTTCCTCTGTCATGAGTTAATTTTTTATTTAGGATTTTGATGGTTTCTAATAATTTTTACAAATATATTTGCACTTTAACAATAAAAATAATAATAATGATAATTCTAAATGGTTATCTTTTGGATTCCATGTTAAAAATTTATTTAAACAAGTGCCCGTTGTGCTTATAAATTTAAAATTATTCAATTTCACTTGTGTTGAAAATTTCAACACGATCAGTTTCATATAGGTTAAACTTGAGTTTGATTCTTCTATATCTCCTCTTTTCACTACCTAGTTAGCATTAAAACTTTCTACTACCGAATTGAATACCCCTTATAGGAGTTGCGGTACAGGTTTTTTTTTTTTTTGGTTGTAAAGAATATAATTGAAGCAAATAATGAGGTTGAACTGTGCTTCCATTTTTTTTTATTAGTTAATTAACTATAATCTGTGTTAATGTGATATTTAATTTAAGTGGAGAATTAAATTAAATTATGTTACTTTAAAGGATCCTCATGATTTTTTTTTCTTTTCCAAAAATAAAAATTGGTAAGATAAGGAAGGAAAAAAAAGTAAATTTTATTTTGTTTGTATATCTATGAGTAATTATAATTATTAATTACATTAAATAGGTCTTTTTTATTTTCCAAATTAGAATTTTTATAGTCACTAAACTAAAGTAAAAATTAAATAAAAAAGCCAACTAAAAACAAATATACAATTGTCAAAAATTTCAAATTTATTTATAATTATAAATCTTATTTAGATGAATATTTTAGATAATTTCATTTTTTGTTTTTGTTTTATCCATTAATAACCATGAATCGTAAAAATAAATACTGAGTTTAAGATAATGATACCTAGAAGTTATTCAAGAAATGAGTTTTGAAGTCAATTGAAAGAGAATATCTTATTTCCTGCTACAGGGTCATCCCAGAATGTCATATTGTTTTAAATATTGTATAAAAGATAATTAAATTTACCTATCTTTAGTATACATTGAATTAGATTGAGTAAGTAAAAGTCATATAATATAAGTAATGTTAATATCAGATTAAATATATTTTGTGTTGTATATGTTTAAATAATTTATATTTATTAAATATAATAAAATATTTAGTGCAGTAATTAGTCTATTATTTTCTTCTTCTATCTTACTCCTAAGTCTAAGTCTATTATTTAAACATACATCTAATTATCTGACACGAAATAAGTTTTGTGAATGGGAATAACTAAATATGACTGACAATTAGGACATATAAGGGCAAATAGGGGAAGTGTTATTGTAGTCATACATTTTTTTTATCACTGAACATAAATCTGAGGTTTGATGATGGATATTTTGTCCAAAATATGTTATCTAAAAAAAATGTCAGAATTATTATACTGTTTTTGGTTTTTGATGTTGAAAAAATATTGAAAACTTTTTTTTTTAGAGCATTATATACAAAATTAAAATAAACACAATTGTATTCATTTGATGTTCTTAAGGTTTTCTTCTATGATCATCCATTAATCCACTACAGTGTGCTCTAAAAGTGGTACGGCTCTTAACATGGACCTTACATGCTCTTCTGTTGACCATTTATGCTATTTTGAAACTATAGAGTATCAGCATTTATACTGCAAATTTTTTTCTTAGGATTTTAACAGTTGTTAATGTTATAACAATGAAAAAAAAGTTATTAAATTAGCACATTAGTCTGTAAAAAGTGACTTATCTCCATAATGTTGAAAAATCCTTTATTCTTTTATTAAATACGAGATGAGAGAAAATAATAATTTGAGTTGGAGTGAGTACTGGTTCAAAGAAGAAAGTGGATGCAGTCTTTACAGATTCATACCATAAATAACTGTTTCTTTAGATATAGGCATTTGCATATTTATAATGATTTATTGAATTGAATATTTGATGGTTGACCGTGGTATATTATTAAGTAAGAAGATTTTTACTATTTTAGTCTTTATATGACCGCCACTCCGGGCCATCTTCTTACTCGATTAAATGAATTGTTTACTATATTATTGTTACCTTACCGTATTGATAATATTACTACTTTCCTAACTTACTTTGCTCTCTATATGTAACTTATAATATTAATTATACAATTATTATTGATGTTAATAAATATTCATATTAGATAAATTGTTAATAATTTATTTTAATATATAATGCTTTTTAGTGAACAAATTAATGAAAAAAAATAATAAATGTTTCTGTACATATAGAAGTTAACATTCTTCACATATGAGTTTTCATTGTAGAATTGTGTGCCCAGGAGGTAAAGCCACCATGTCCATTTTTTCATTAAATAATTTAGTAATGAAGAAACAAATTTTAATAGCTCAAAGTTATAGAAAATTGGCTCCCTGAAGAAATTAAAAAATGTGACATGGTGTCCTTTACATACGAAGTACAGATTTAGTAACAAAAAAAAGAATATACTTTGAGGTATTAAATTGTACCTCACTATATAAACTTTAATATATATTAAAGGAAAGAGATGGTCTGGGATGGCGGCCATAAATAGGCTAAATAGTGGTAAAAGTGAAACTCCTAGCTGAACACACCTCCCTGAAGATGACTTGCAAAGTCGGGTCGAAACGTTGGCTTTTAATAAAATAGTTTTAGCACTATTTAGCCTATTTATGACCGCCACCCGGACCATCAACTTCCTTTATAATGCAATGGTCAACTATTAAATATTCAATTTAATATATTTTACCTTTATTTTCATATTTTGATTTAAATAAAAGTCATTATTGTGATAATGGTGAAAAGTATGCAATCCTGATAGAACGCAAACAGAAAATTATAGTGAATTAAGACAATTTATTTTCAAAAGCAGGATTTGTTTAAACAGCTCTCTAAAGATAACAGCACAAATCAAGAAAGCTGGACAATTATAAGTCTAATAAGCACCACAAGATGTCAGCACTATCCAAACAACAAGCATTCCTAGTTCTGGTAGGAAAATTTTATTTTGTATCAGGAAAATAGGAGCAAACAGCAACTCAACTGCTCAGGCTGATGCTAAAAGGGATAGTGCTGCTGTCTTTTGGTTAACTTTAAAAATACATTAGTACATTCCCAACTAAGACTGGATCAAATAGTTGAACTCCTTTTAGCTCCTACTCTCCTATACAAAATAAAATTTTTCGGGCTGGATTCCGCTTAAGAACTGTCTGGATGGCTCTTTTAGCTTTTCCGGGAACTAAATACATCTTTATTGATTTATTATCATCAGGCAATAAATGTAATGTAATATTCTAATCATTTATGAAATAATTTAATCGTTAGTTTTCAATATTTTATTTGTGGATTAGAATTGAAGTGAAGGATGATTTTAAATATTTATTTATATAGATACTTAATTAACTATATTATTTTTGTTTAGTAATTAATTTAATAAACTATGGAGATAAAAAATAAAATATTGAAATACTATAATTTAAAATAAAAATAATTTAATACAATCTTTAATTAAATAAATTCCATAATACTATGTAAAAATGAAATCATGTAAAATATCAAATTAAAAAAAAATCTAATTTTTGTTGTTCATTTGACAATCAATTAAAGTTATAACAATTAACAATTAAAGTAAAAGAAGAAAGGACATGATAGGCATGATGAGGAAGAGAGTTACCCAGCCGCTAACCTTCTTCGATCATGTTACTTGTTATTCATGATCTCCTATCCAACTCTTCATCCTTCTATAGATGTTATATGGTATGTTTTTATTGGTCATGTCTTGAATGAGTTAATTGGAGTGACCATGGAGCTTCTGAAACCTTTTGTAGTAAGTTTGTATGTATTCACTGATGATTTGCATGTGGAAATCTTTGTGGAGAGTTATATCACTACCATACCAAGGTGCTTCTGTAATTGTCCTGAAGTATTTGTAGTTTCTGGATGTGGTTTTTTTTTTTAGTAATTCTGTATATTTGTGAAAGATATGTCCAGATTGGTAGTTTTAACTTCTTGTTAGTTTTTTACACAGAACAGTATGAAATAAGTAATTTCACTTATCCATGCGAGTGTGTTGATTTGTCTATATTTAAAAACTATTATAGTACTTAACATTTATTAGATGATTTAAAACCAACTAATAATAATCTAGAATGGTAATAAAGATATGAACACTCACAGTCAGTTTTACAGAGTACTTAGGAAGCCAACTGTGCGCCATCAAGCCTAACAAGGATTTTCTGATTGTAAATAATGCTCCTTCCGATACTTTCAGAATGTGCAAATTTCTTACTTTTAATAGATATACTTTTATTTCTCTAATTTTTGGTTTCAGTTTTCTTGTGTCGCTGTTGTTAAGTAAGAATTAAACATTAGGAATGAAAAATTGTCTTATGTTAAATGTTATAAAATTGAACCACATAGAAATAAATTAAGATTAATAACTGATGAAACATCATAGAAGGTTCATCAATAAAATTTAACAGATTTTGTTGCATACTTTATTAAAAAAATATATGTATTTACAAATACAGAAATTTAAAAGTAAAAAAAATACTATTTTAGCAAGTGAATTGGTAAACTTATAAGTACCCTAGTACAAGAAACGTGTATCACATCAATATATCTTACATAAATGCATCCTTTACCGAAAAGCAGGATACATTAAATTCAAATATAGATTATAATTGATATGAATATGTATTTTAAAGTTCATTTTATATTCTGATTCCAATCAATTCATTTATTTATTTATTTTTTTTTTGTAGGTTAACTTATGTGAGTGACCAAACTTTACTAAGTTATTTTCAAATGTATGAATGAAGTCCTCAATTACTTGAGTGACTAGTAGAGTCAAACCTCGGGCAGTTAATTCAGGAAAATTATATAAAATAGATGAACAGTATTTGAAAAACTGAGATTTATATAAATTATTAAATTCATGCATGTAGTAACCTATAGGTAAAAAATTAACTACATACAAAAATTAATTACTTCTTTTATAGTTTCCATAACTTTATGGTATACACATCATGCCAATTATAAATTTATAAATAAATCAAAAGGTCGAATTTATGCTACTCTTTTTTTTTTTAATCCAGGTTTATTGCATTAATTACAGTACAAACACATACATACATCACAAACACACTCTTATAAATGATTATTAGTGGTGTACTTCTATATTCGACCGTAAACTAACACATCAAATAGAGCTCATGATATTATTAATTAAATTCATTTGATTATTACTAACAGAAAAGAAACCATTTTAAACATATAAAGTGACTAGCTTCATATGTGATGCATAGCTTATTACAACTTCTTATATGTTTTAGTAGGTACTTAAAACAAAATGAAAAAATTGATAATATATACGTATATAATGCAAAACTTCAAGTAATGGATAGGTAAGAAAAATAAAATCTAATAAACACAACATAAACAGCAAAAAAAAAAAAAATATATATATACAACAGTAAATGCTGTTTTTTTTATAAACATACATCAGTATTTTGGGTAGAGGAATCAAATCCTTATAAAATACCAAAATAGTCATGCAATTAATAAATGATTCAAGATATTAAAGAAATAAAAGTATAATAAATGCTTTTAAAATTGTAGACATGATAAAATAACTTATGTGAGTGACCAAACTTTACAAAGTTACTCACTCAAATGTACGAAGTCCTCTTTCACTTGAGTGACAAGTAAAGTCAAACCTCGGGTAGTTCATTAAGGAAAATTAAATAAAATAGATGAAATGTACTTGAAAATTTGAAATTTATATGAATGATTACAATTTATGTAAGTAGTAACCTATAAGTAAAACATTAACTACAAAAATTATTTATTTCTCCTGTAGTTTCTTTATGGTATACACATCATACCAATCATAAATTTCTAAATAAATTAAAAGGTCAAATTTATAGTAAACTCCTTTTTTTTTAATTCAGGTTTATTGCATTAATTACAGTACACATATATAAATAAATTTACTAATTATTGTAGCTAAAAATAACTTATACTTCTTGTTTTTTGTATATTTTCTCAGAGAAAGTGTTTTAAATTAAATTAACAACTTTCACAACAACTAATTATTTCATACAATACCCTCATCGACTGGTAACAAGGTAACCGAAAATGTTCTTACATAAGAAAATAATTCTTAAAATTAAAATATAAAATCCATAAAAAAAAAGGATTGAAATTTTCCTTCATTTTAACATTGTAGTGACTTTTAAAATGTTTTAAGGAAAACTTTCAAACAAATATTTATAACTTACTAATTTATAAAAATGATATTGGTCAATTTGATCAATCACTAAAATGATTGCTAACGGTAATGTTTGCCTGTAAATAAATCTGCTGGCATTTAAGTTAATCAGCTTCCATTCCACTGTCTAGGAAATCCTTTACCATCTGTCCCACTTTTACAGGAAACAGTCTGAAAGATAAAAATACACAGCTATAGATTTAAGCAAAAATGAATTTAAAATTATAGAGTAAGGTAAGTCAAAAACTAGTTAAGTGAATGGTGCAAGAAGAATTCAAGAATTTTTTTATGTTTTTATCTTAGGAGAATAAAAAGAAAAAAAATCACCTTGATTTTCCATTACAGATATCTTTTTCTTACCTGAGTACATCATTTAGTAGCATGAAGAAGGAAGGAATAGTGATGGCAAGCTTATTTTGCCTCATAGAGGTAACTATGATTTCAGCTACTGTCTTAGGTTTTAATAAAGCAAGGGCCTCGCCTAACCTAGAAAACACATGCATTTCTTATTCATAATAACTGATTTTGTATGACACATTGGTATTTATAAAAGTTAATTAATTATAAACTACAACGCCAAGTAAATTACAGTGAATGATCAATATCATTTAAGAATAATATTAAAATATTAGTAATTATAAATAAAAAATAAAATATTTCGCTCTAAATTGCTTCAGCAGGACAAGGCCTTATAAAAAATTATTTGCCAATTATCACCTTTTCACTTTAGAAACTATTTTACTGAGTAATACAACATTTTGTTACAATAAGAACAATAGTTATAATGAGAAAAGAGTTCATTCACACCACCTGCCAAATTACCAAGTCATAATGGTGGAATAATGAATAATATACTTCTTAAAAAATCTGGTGCGAAGCACACATTACACAAATTTAGCATACCACTCTTCTTTTAGCAGGAATAGGTTTTCCAAACAAAGAGAAGTGAAAGTAAAAATTACCAACAGTACAACATATTTAAAACAATTAATTACCGTATGTTTTCCAGAGCCATCTCATGTGCTTATATTTATGTGTTTTTTGTAGCTAACCATTTCTTTTTACAACTGTATAGTTTAATTATAAGAAATAATTAAGTGCCACGAAATATTTTTAGTCTAACAAGAGTGCCACTAATAAAAAAGGCTGTTATATTTATTTATATTTTATTGTGGGTATATTTATTTGTTTTGGCACTGGTATACAGACAAATTTTAATTTTTATATTGCTTTAATCTGTACAATTAAATATTAAATAATACCAATGCTAGCATTTATGAAAACTGCACACCTGTATGTATGTATTATTGAAGCTCGTATTATATTAGGCTATTTGTTACGATCGGAAGCCTATTCTAACGTTTTGGCCAAGCTCGGGTGTGCGCTTGGGTTTATTCATTCCTCTATTACGATACGATATTTCTCCTTTAGTTCATTATAAAAGTTTTTAATAGTTCATATTTCACCATTTTTTATTCCAGGTTATAATGTGAAATGGTTAATTATTGAAAATAAACAAAATCAGAAGTACTTTGAAAATTCGCCATTTAAGCACTTAATAATACAAAGGCTGATCTAATTTAATCAAAATTGTTAAGAGTGGTTTTGAGGCACTTCTGGTAAGCCAATTTTGATAAAAAAAGTTGCTGTGACACACATACCATTTTGAGAGATTTAATTATTTTGGTTTAGACGACCTCAAAATGTGTATTTCTGTTGAAAACTCAGACATGAAAATTTTCATGATTGCAATACTTTCTCATACTATATATTTCATAAATAGGTAAGTGAAAGTAACAATATAATCGACTTTGTCATTAAAACAGATCAGTTATATGATTTATAGCATCAGGTATTAATAAAGGACTATGGAGCATACATACTTTTGATTTATTTTTGGATTTTTACATAATCCAGTATTGACCATGTATGGAAAAACAACAGTAAAGTGAACTTCTGGTGCAATGTTTTCTTCCCTGAATTCTTCTATCATAGCCTCCATTAAGCCTAAACAAAAAACAATTTAAAAAATAACATTATTACTATAGCAAATAAACTACATGATCGATTGGGGGTAATGAAATACACAACTGTTATATTTTTTATATTTGTTCATTAGGAAATGTTTTTAGTTCACGAATTAATGACGATAATTAATGTAAAACAACTGAAGTAAATATGAAGATTTAACTTTATAATGATGATAAATTTCATAAATCATTAAATTAAATATTAACTGTAACTTCTATACTTTGAAACAAAATGGACAAATGTCCAAAACATTGAAATTTGTGTGAACTGACACAGGAAATCCGGGTAGAGTATACAGTAATTATATAAGAGGCAATGTTCCTCTCACTATTAGTTAGTCTCAATAGTTGATTGTGGAAAGGCATTAGTCCTTTTAACAATTAGAGCAAATCCTATTCTGTTTTTTTTCTTAATGTTCAGTCAAATTTCAATATTGGACATAGGCCCTATTTCTTCTGAGGTACAGAAGTATTTTTTCATTGCCATTTAATAATTAGCAAATTTTACCTCTTACAGCAAATTTAGATGCACAGTATGGAACGAGATTTCTTAACCCAAGAACACCTGCCATAGAAGAGAGAGCTACTATGTGTCCATGATTTTGCTTGATCATATTGGGAAGTACAGCTTCTAACAACTACAGAAAAACATTGATTTTAGAATTGAGGGATGTTGGGGTAATCAGTAAAAAAAAAATGATAAAAATAAATATTATATTTATTTTTACCATTTTTTTTTACTAATCACCCCGACCATTCTTCTCTTCAATTATTCACTACAGTAACGATCAATCCACAATTGATTTTAGACTATTTGATCTCATGATTTTCCTACTTTTTTTTTCAAGAAGATAAGTAAGTAGTAAATAATCTTACCCAAAAATGAGCAAAAACATTGACTTCAAACATTTTAATGATTTCTTGAGGCTTATGTTCAAGTAGCCGATGACATGGCATAATTCCAGCATTGTTTATCAGAACAGTAACATCTCCCACCTCCTTTTTGATTCGCTCGACTAACTGGAGAACTTCTTCTCTTTTGGTAACATCACACCTGAAATATAATGTTAGTTTTATTTTTAATATTTGATTTTGAAAATTGTCAAATAGTACATTTTTGAGTGTAAAATTTTAAAAGTTCCCTCTAAGTATACTGCTATTTAAATTTTTTTTGTCAAAATAAAGAATAAACATAATGGATAAAATCTGACCCATCCCTCACAAAACTAGATCTATTCTAAAAATGTGTTTCAGAACTGAAATGAAAGCTTAGAATATCTATTTTTAACAGAAATCCAGCATTATATGGTATTAAATGTAACTGAAACTCGATAGAGGAAAATACAAATAGTTAATAGCAATGTCCATTATGTCTAAGCATTTTAATAATTTTTATAGGACTTCAGTCCTAGAATAATTTTTTTTTTGTTTCATTAATTAGATGATCAGGGACCATTTAAATTTATATTCTTTGTATTTATACAGGTTGATTTATAAGATTTTTAAGGACACTGAAAATTCAAAATGTAGGACTCAATATGCTGACAAAAATTTCAAATCAACCTCTGAAATGTTTGTAGCTCATTGAACCAGAGGACAATATTTCTGATAAAAAAAAGGATAAATTTTAAAATTGTAAAAATCACCTTAAACTCATAGATGTGTAGCTGAATTAGAATTTGTGATTAACCCAATGTTAAAGTTGTATTGAGTTGAATAAACTGACATAATACATTCAGATTTATAATTCTAACATTAAGCACATGACATAAGAGGACAGAATCAGAGAATCAGATAAAGGCATGAATATTTAAATATAAATGATATAACACTGGTTCTATAAATATTTTTCAAAAGGGAGAGGCAAATATCCCATTTCAATATTATTATTAATAATCAGTCTTAGATGATAGGTAATTGATAAAGTCTACCTATGATCAGGCAAATATTTTTAAAAAAAGGATTATAATTTTTTCATACTTGTAGGAATGAGCTTTTTGGTAGCCATTGTTTTGAATTAATTTGACAGTCTCTTCATTTCCTTGTTCATTTATATCGAGGCAGACAACGGTGGCCCCAAGTTCAGCAAATTTAAGTGATATTTCTCTTCCTATCCCATGGCCAGCACCTGTGACCTTGAATTAAACAAGGAAAATGGATAATTATTTAAAGTGATAAACTCTGGTTAACTAGAGAAAATGTTTTTCAATTACTTAATTGTGATTATTAATTTATTACTTAAAAATGAACAAAAAAGTCAAAATTCAAAGTTCAACAACTTTGATACAAATCCCACTATCAAACTCTAACAAATAGATAAACAACACATGAAATAGCTGGCCTTAAAATAAACTACTACTGGATAAATATTAGTAAACATTTTCTCAACTAATTCTTTTTATGGCATATTACATATTCATCAGACTTAACTGTAAATTTACCATTCTATGTAGATACATATTTAATAATCAAATTGATAATCAAGAATAAAATGCTTCTGGTGGTGGTTGAAGAAAATTCATTAAAATGTTGCTTAATCCTCTAATTTAACTCCATCATATCATGGATTTTATGCAAAAAGTAATATTTTAGAAAACATCTTTGTTTTTATTTAGTTTCCTCTACCCAGTAGAGTCATTGGTAACACCTTAATCATAAAATCTGTTGTGGTAATTTAACTAATTTCAAGAAATCAAATTTTTTTTTTTTTACTGCTTGTTCATTGTTTAGGAAATTCTTTTTCATTACTACGATGATGGTATAACAAATACTGCTATTTATTAAACATACCAGTATGTGTGCTAATTTTGCAATGGCCTCTTGAGTATTCTAATAGTTAATCAAAGTTTATTTCTATATAGGTTAAAAAGTCACTTAGTTCAATAAAAGGAATGTTTTTTAATAAGTTGTGTGTCTAATTCCAGCACATTTTGTCCACTTTTTACCTGTTTTCCTCCAATCACAATCAACAACCTCTTTGTGTTGATGATTATTTGAGATGACTAATGCATATTCTGGCTCTATAAACGAAACCTAAGCACCATTTCTTGGAGGTTTGTCTGGTTTCTCATTGCACATGACTCCCTTGTGACTGGGAACACATAGTAGCTTTAAGATCTTGGAGCAGGTAAGTTTCCAATGACGACTGCATACACTCACTACAATGGAATTTACTTTAAAGAACTCGTAAGGCTTGCATAGCTGACTATCTCAATAGATAGTAATTTTTATTTATTTCTCTCTTTCTTGCCTTTTGGTTACATGGCATTTTCCAGGAATGGAATATCACAAACGTGGATGTCATTCTTGCTATCAAACAACAAATATTTTCCTTCATTTTCTTTTCACCGTATCTGTCCGGCGGCCTTCCATGAGCAGGTTCTCTTCTTCCAAGATTAAAGTGTGACGGCTCCAGAGCAAATATATAGATAGTAATGTCAGCCTTGTCACATCCGATGATTTCCAAATATATGGCTGCTGACATAAATACTTCTGCCTGAAATAAAGCAAAATGATTCCCTAATCGACTATTTAATCCAATATTTAAGTCCCCTAATAGACTTCTTTAGACCAATTAAGACTTTCCTCTATCAATCAGTAAAAACATAAAGATGCTCTTTTGGAGTTTCTATTATGTTGAGTGATACTAATCCAGTGATTTGGAATAGAGAAAGTAAATGTAGCTCTTGGATCACCTTGGTTTCCTGTTTCATTACCAGTGTCTATTATACTTCATTGTTTGATATGTCATAGCTGCTTCTCCTTTTATCCACAAGTTTAAAGGTATAAGGAAAGTAAAACTTCTATAGTTTAAGTGGATAAGGTGTGAAATGCTCCAGGGATGCCTGGATACAGGCCATTCTTTATGACATAGCATTCGTTCATACCCGTTTCTCACACAAGATTTCCATACTTTCTTTCAATGTTCGGTCTATTTTTTTCCTTCTTGGTTTGAATATTAATTAAAAAAATATAAATACTTAAATCATTAAGTAAATTGAAAACATTTCTACTTTGAAATTGAAATATTGTGCACTTATTTCATATATTTTTGATATAATAGGATTAATATTATTTAGATGCAATTAATGTTTTTTTCATTGTGAAATAAGATAAAAATTCACAAACGTACTCAAAATTTTAGCTGATCAAAAGAGAATTTAGTAACTTTTTGCAAAAATTGACAATACATAAAATAATAATAATAAAGAAAAAATAAATCTGACCGAACTTACCAAAATAATTTCTCCTTTGACAGACTTTAAGGGTTTAGGCATAAGTGAAGTGTAAATTCCCTCTATTGTTGCAAAGGAAATTTTTATTAAAAGTACTAAAATTTCCAACAACAATGTTCCAATGGAATATAATTTTAGCATCATAGTTTCCTCTTGATTTCTGAAATTCAATATTGTAAAAATCAAAACAAATACATAAAATTACAGAATTAATATAAATTTTTATTAAAAAATAATAAGTATAACGATAGTTTACTTTGGTAAATGAACATTGAAATATATCACATTTCTTTAAGTCATGTAAAAAAATCCTAAAACTAAAGGTAATTTATACAAGCATATATTTGCATTCATGAATTCAATCAGCGAAGCCATAATTTTTTAGAATTATTTATTGAGTATAGTTCTCATTAAATATTTAAAACATTTTTGGGTTGCAATAAATCAACATTATTTAGGACAATCAGTCCAAAAACATTTTGACAGGGTTGACTAGAGGGCAGGCTAGAGAGGTAACTTAAGGGTTCACTTATTTGATAAGGGAGGATCAAGGGTTGTTGTGATATCGAGCAAGTTCCGATATATCCTTATCGATACCAATGTTATTATAATATTGAATCAAAAGTCTTGATGAAATGGTATCGATATCAGAACGAAATTGTTGAGATAATTATCTCAACAAATAAATCGTCGGTTTAGTGAAATATTATATTTTCATATAATTCATTGACATTTCATATTATATTGATTTAAGCTTATAATGTGAATGAAAAAAAAAATCGAAATCTGATATAGGTCGTTTTCCTTCGATATCACGATAATATCAAATCGATATAATCGCAACATCCTGAGAAGGATCTAATCATTTCATGTATCAGGTCAACATGGAGGAAATAAGTTTAAATAAACGATCTTTGGAATTTTGGAATAGCCTTGTATCAATATTATGAAGATTCGGATCAATACCGGTGAGTTATAGGATTTTTTAATTTTTTTTTATACATAGAAGTCCAAGAACTAACCAAATACATTATCATTAGATTGTTTTCCTAAACTCGCAGATAGAAACTAACTCCTATAATGAAAATTTTCTGTTCCATTTTAATCTTTATTTTCTTGTTTTATCAAACGTTTCGGGCTACTCATCCATCATCAAAGACAATTTAAAACTGTTAGTAGATCTTTCATCCCTCTTATTATTTTATAATGCATGTTAAAAACATATGTTCTCAATTTATTACTTAAGTTTAAAATAAAATGCATTTTTTAAAGATAGGTGTTTTCCATTGTCACTATTCATTGGTGTGTCTATCTTGGACTTTATACAAATACTATTATAGTATATTTTCGGCAGGGAATTTTGATTTATTTATACAATTCCTTGGTTTTCAAAAGAGTAGTTTTTGAGGGAGGTTTCAATTTTAAGATTGAACTAACGTGTTTCTATTTATTTTGTCTTTTATATTTTTTTCGATGCAAAGGATGGCGCCTACTTGGACCGCCTTAAAAATATAATTATTTTTATACTGTAATCTTTACTGCCTGTTGAAATTTAATTTATTATACAATATATTGAAGTAATAATAGTATAGAATTTCTGTAGTAATATTAGTAGTGTAGTGTTAGCACTTTAGTAATATTAATAGTAATAATGTTTGTGTTATTTTGCTAAAAATTATTTAAAAATAAGTAATTCTCAATCTTAACAGAACAAATAAAGTTATATAGATACTAATCAATAAAAAGTTAAATTAAGTTTTTCTTCCTGAGGCAGTTTTTATAATTTGTTAATTTTGACACAAACTGAATTTCACATGATGCTACTACTCTGTCTTAATCTTATTGTTTCAAGTGTTTTATTATATAACAAAATATTCATATTTAGTATAATTAATTACTTAATAAATATGGAAAACCATGTTAATGATATTCTTAATTCACATGTGAATAAACGGTTTAATTCAGAGGACCAGCGAATTAGTCTTAGAAAAGTATTTCTTTATTTGATAGTCTTTTCAATCTATCTTATCGAATAAATGATGCATTTAAAAATATAATCAAAAGAAAAAAAATTAATGCTTATTTATTAGGTTAGGATTAGCTAGTTAGGGACACTAATCATTGTAAAATATACCACATGTTTCATTTCTTATTTTTTATTTTTTAATTTCATTTAAATGTATAATAAAATTTCGATGTTATGAGATTTTTTTCGATATCTTTTTGAAAACAGGGCCTAAGCCTAAAACAAAATCTGTACAGAAGAGTTCACACCATTTGGAATTTACAAATTAAAAGGTAAATCTTACAAACCTTTAAAATGCCTTTTGTACTGATTTGATTTTAACTCTACAACTTAGATAAAAATGGCTTAATATTTGTCTGTCTAATATGGGCAAAATAGTTTCACCATGAAATAAAAATTACTTTTCCTAATCGGAATCCTACCAGTATCTCCTACCTTAGGCCTCACTACCTCTGGAAGCGTAAAATGTATGACACAAGCCGCACAAATTGCTTAACGAATCGTTATGGAAATGTTGCAGATTCAAGCGTTTAATCACGACCACAGGCGGATCTACGGGAGGAGAGAAAGAGGAGGGCTTTCGGGCTGAAGCCTCCTCCCCTTCAAGATGGTAAAATGTAACCCTGTTTTATGGGAAAAAAAAATTGTTAAAGTATTATTGTCTGTATAATTAATTACATTTAATAGGATTCATATTTAAGTATTACTTAAACACCATTTCATATAGATAGTTTTTTTTTTTCCAAAGTAATTATCATTATTTATATTTTTAAAAAACCTATCGGGCTGAAGCACCCCAATAATTAAATCCTGGATCCGCTATTGATCACGACAGAGATCAACTCATTTTTGACCTATATCTAGCGGATGCGAAACCTTACGCACACCAAAGAGATGCTTCAAAACTTTAAAAGAAAATGCTAACAAAATTCTAAAGTCTTGTGTTTGACTAAAATGTTTGTAGTTTTCGTTGAGAAATAAATGAGATTAAAGTTTTTCATTACGCTTGTTTGATCTTTGTCAATTTATCAGTGTAGAACACTAAAATATGTTATTAAATTCAAATTAGACTCATTTTTCGTATGTCAGTTAAAGAAAGTTTCAGCTATTTCCCTTCATCTATATTCATTAGCGGACCCAGGATTTAATTGCGGAGAGGGGATTTAGCCCGAATTTTTTTTTCTCATATATATATATATATATATATATATATTTATATATATAACGATAATTAATTTGAAAAAAAAAGAAAGAAAATAACAACCTACATGACATGGTGTTAAAGTGATTCTTTAAGTCCTATTAAATGTAATTACACGAACAATACTACTTTAAGAAATAGTTTCTAATATTTTTTTCTATAAAATATGGTTATACTTCACTATTTTGGGAGAAGGGGCTTCAGTCCGAAAGTCCCCCTCCTTTCCCACTATAGACCCGCCTGTTTCTATATTAGAATAACCATGCATTTAGGCCATCTTACAGGTTACTCCGCTAGTTTACGTATTATAAATTTCACACACTAATTTTTTTTCCGGTCAGGTTATTTGTGTGACGCCATTTCTGATCTATAAATCAGGTTTTTAACCGACCATCCGGTTTCCCAGACAATAAAACTGGGTTGATATTGTTCTGTATAGTTGCAGAAAAGAAATATAATAAAATAAATAAATACAGATATTAAAATAAGCCCAACAGGTCTGTGTCATGATTATCTCTTGAAGGGATGGATCGATTTTGTTGCTCCTTTTTTTGTTTTATATAGTTTTGGCCACCGATGCCTGTGTATTGAATTGGGCTTCCAGAGTATGATAGTCAATACTTCTTTACTGTAGACAGTAGCGCCAAAAATGTTTTATTTTGATGAAATTTGCCTGAAGTCTCCTCCTAAGTATCGTTAAATATCTCTCCAAGATAAAACATTATAAAACTTTAATAGCGTATAATCCCAAAAGTATATATTTTATGGTTGATTATGTACAGGAGAGTTTACAAACAACGGCTTGCAAGCACCTCCAATACGGCCCGCGAAAGTCTCTTTGATTACATACCATGTACCATAAATTTAAAAAATATTAAATCACTCAAATATGAGGTATCTACAATATTTACTTCATAAATCGTTACTCTTAAAAAGCTCATTTCACAACTGAAGTATCATTTATAAAACAGGCTTGTTTTTTTTTTTCATCTCAAGTCGTTAGCCGCAAGCCTTAGCGGAGATCTCAAAGCGGCCCGTGGGGCAAAAACTTAGATGACCGCTGATATACATCATTTGAAAGATAATTAAATTTCGTAAAATCGAAAAAAAACACATTAAAATTGGATGATGATTAACTCAGACAACGTTTATTGGCCGGCCTTTGTACACATATTTTAGTGTATCTTTTTTAATAATGAACTTTTGTAAACAACTATGCCATAGTCCAACCGCGATTAGTTAACAGCCCGGGAGTGAACTTGGTGGCAACAAGTTGAAACTTACACTTTGTTTTGTTCTTAAAAAATAATTACAAATATAAAAACAAATACCGAGAGATGATATTGTAATATTCTAAGTTACACTGATAGGCAAAACATTCCACCCACTTGATTTTTTTCATGTTTTCATCTAAAAATATTTCTGCTTTGGATTGGTCTATTGTTTTAAATGAATAAATAGGTAATCTTTTTGTTTGTTTTCAATTAGGAATGTTAATATAGAGGACAATAACCCTTAATCCTTAATTCAATGAAATGATTCTAGATTCCAATGTTTACTTTCTATGGAGTCAAAATGTTTATTCAGTATCATTAGTTCAGTGCCTTTTCTTGCAGCACATTTCTTAGTCTCCGGCTTTTATTTTTTTCAATATTAAGTTTAAAAACGCCTCTTAGTGCTGAGGATGTTGCGCGTGGTGTGGCACTTATTTGTGATGGATGTTCCATTAGATATGCAGCTAATGCCATCGGAGTTCCATATGAAACTTTACGAGACGCCGTCAGGCGTTTTCGGGAAACTGGTTCTTACAATAGAAGGCCCAGTATTCTGGACGGCCTAGGGTAACAGAACCACGGGATGACCGGTTTTTGACTTTGAGAATTTTACGAAACCGGCACCTTACCGTTGTTCAAGCGATTCGTTATCTCGAAGAAGTTCGAGGTGTGCAAATTTCTGAACGTACCGCTCGGAGAAGATTAAATAAGTATGGATTAATGGCTTTTCGTCCAGTAAGAAGACCAGAGTTGACCAGAACTCACAGAGTAACATGGCTGGCTTTTGCTCGAGAACACAGCCATTGGACTATGGACGAATGGAGTGCTGTACTTTTTACAGATGAATCAAGATTCGCTCTTCGATCTCCAGACGGGCATGAAAAGGTGTGGAGAAGAAGAAAGATATGCAGCCTGTAATTTTTCCCAGAGCCAACCTTTCCAACGTGGTTCCTTAATGGATAACAAGTGGGTGGAATGTTTTGCCTGTCAGTGTATATGTATGGTTGTAAATTTTTATGTTATGTTGGAGGGTTAAGTTGAAAAAATATTAGTTCCAACTTAGTGCCTTATGAGTTTTCCTAGTTATGCGTGAAATTAACATTACATCAGGTTCATAAAAGCTTTCATGGATATTTTGCTAACGATTTATTTAATCACTAACAATATCTAACAGCATAAAATTCCTAACAATCGTTTCACTTTTAGATGGTTCTTCATTTTGATAAAACGGTGTCATCTTCCATAGATGCTAGAAAAAGATTGTTGATATCCAAACATTTCGAGTATCTGAAAGGGAAAACACTTTTCAACGATTACGAACTAAAGTAAGTATTTCTCTTAGTTTGTAAATGCCGTAATAATAATACGGATATTAATGGACATGTATAAAGCATTTGGATCGCATTTAGGTCGCGGAACGATTATAAGTTAGGCATGGTGATTCTAGGTGCATGCTCCTACTATATGACAAACTCTCTCCCAAGAAGGTGATGAAGAAGGCTGAATTCTTCCAGGCCTTGCGAGTGATGGTCGGCGTGACAGATAACCCGATCCTGGAGCGGCTCTATTGTTCGCTGGAGCTGCCCAGCATGCACGGCATCATGTTCGACCAGTGGGTCAGTCTACTGTCCCTCTACAGCAGGGGAACCCTCGACGAGAAGACCGTCTTCACCTTCATGGTATGCCTTAGGAGAAGTCTGTCATTCGAATTAAAACCAATCTTATATAGTAATAAATTACAATGAAAATAAGAACGCGTATAGTACAACCATTGTATGCATCGGCTAAAACTTCGGGGGCTGGGGAGGAGGGGAAGGACAGAGGAGACGATAGCCTCCCAATAAAAATATCGCTTCGCTCCCTCTATATTTCGAAGAACAAAAATGAAATCAAAATTAATAACAATTAGTCTACATGAACGAATAAAAAATGTATTGGGTTGGCAAATAAGCCCTTTCGTTTTTTCAGAGTGAAATAATGTACTCAATGTATTATAGACATCAAATTAATTTTAATCTACAATATACTGACCATTATTTAATATGACTATTTCCCATCTTTCTACTAACTGCATAAAGCCATGTTCATAGAATACCATAGTTTAATGAAGAGAAGAATAGTTGGGGTGGTCAGTCAAAAAAGCCATAGTTTATTGTTAAAAAAACTGATCCAATTTCTTTCCATTCATGGAGTTTTTCTGCTGAGACCTGAATAAGTGGTAGTCGCTTGGAGTGGAACGCAACATCCTTCCGATCATTCATAAGGATGTTCTCCAAATTTGATGTTACTATATCCGTTTCAAAGGTGAATTATTGTTCTTCAAAGCCCTATGAATGTTTTTTTATTTAATGCCTACATAAGGAATAAATAAACAAAAACTTCTTACAGGTTTGTATTTTTTATCTTCGTTTGTAGTTTGCTTAAGAAGGTCCTATTGATATCATTTTATGTAGTTTATGTGGCCCTAAATTCCTGCTAAATTTCTTATACATAGCTAAAGTTGTAATCTTTTTTGTGATTTTCGAAAAAATCACCGAACTTGTGCAAATGGTTTTCTATGTTTGAGTGCGACACATTTAGAGCAAATGATATGATGGTATTTTGATCAACAATGGCTTTAATATTGCTCGTTTCAACTTCATGTGGGCAACCAGAACGTTGGGCTTCATTGATGTAAAAATTTTCTGAATTTGGCAAACCAATTTTGACAGGGGCGTTCGGTAAAGTATACATCATCCCTATAAACACTGAAAATTTTTCTATGAGCTTCTGCAAAACGCTTACCTTTTTTTTGAAATAAAACAACAAAACATGCTGATAATGAATGATATTTTCTTCCATATTCACAGTGCAATAGAAAAACACAATACTAAGTTAGTTTCAACAAGATTTAACAAATATAATTGTTGACATATTACAAACATGATAATCAATACACCTTAGAGATTAATTCATCAGATAAGAAGTGTATCATAGTAACATACAAAGAAACTGAAAAACCGAAAGGACTCATTTGCCAATCCAATGTTTATTTAATATTTAGCTTATATTTAGTTTTAAAAGCAATCAAGAAATTAGGAAAAGCCGACTAGATGGCTAATCTAAGGTCTGCATGTAGGTACGCAAGTACCACACCCTATGTTCCTATTATTAAAATTAATAGCTAATATTCATAGATAGCTATACCTCGGATGCAATGAACACCAAGTAACATTTTTGTACTTGTTCAGGGGAGCCAATATTCCATAACTTTGAGATATGAAAATTTGTTTCTTAGTTCCCAAAGCTGTACCCCAGAGAGAGACACCATGTCACATTTTTGTATTCGTTCGGAGAGCAGTTTGAGCTATTAAAGTTTTGGAAATTTGTTTCTTAGTAACTAAATTATTTAATAAAAAAGGACATGCTGTGTCCTGTACCACTGGGGCACAGATATGTAGCACCGTATCCTAAGAATTAGTGCTTCCTTCATGTGCACCTTTTTATTTTTATACGAAGGTTTTATCACATTTCCCGCGGCAAATTTGAAACATCGTAGAACTTAAAGTTCATCTCACTGCCTCAAACTTTTAAATAAAAATATGTGATATGTGCAATGGCTTTGTTAACATATTTTCAAATATTCCCATAATTTAAAAAATAAATATAAATAAAAAATAAAATGGTTCGTTTTACAAGAATTATGTTAACAATTACTAATAATAATAGGTAATATTATCTATAAATTTCCGAGACTTTGGTGGGTCCGTCGCTCCCTCGTCCCCTACAATAATGGTAAGCCTGCACCTATGAGAGACCATTTGAAATGAATATTTTTGCAATTGAGACTCCTCGAAGTGGAGAGGAAGCAGGTGCCGTTTTATGGTTTAACATGCAATTCCGCATTGAAAAGCCGCTGTTCACAAAACAAGAGTGTTTCCGGTATATTATGCTCTGGCACAGTTGGTGCCACTTCAACCGAAATCCCATCCTGTCTTCCAAATTCAGAATTTCATTTAATTCTGCGTAATACATAATTATTTATTCTTGCTATTAACATTAATAGCAATTAATTTTAAATAACCTGGTGCGCGCATCACAAAACTTACAATTGCTGTACTACTTAGAGTAAATATTGATTTCTGCTCTAATATGTCTAATCTCTAATATCCTACTTTTATTAGAGATCAATTGTCCTTCAAAACCACCTCTAAGGTCTTCTAAAATAGTTCCATAAATCGAAAATTAAAATAAATAGTAGCGAATCAACCCACATAACTTCCTGTCTTAAGGAAGCCTCAAGTCCACCCATAACGATTGACAATAACCCAGTGCCTTTCAAAAACTATGTACAGTACCTCGGACTCTACTTAGACAAAAGACTTTCCTGGAACATACATACTAAATTAGGAAGATAACAACTAATAGGACGATATAACCAACTCTCACATCTTCTGGACCACAGATCCTCACTTAACTTACGAAACAAGCTACTAATCTACAACATCATACTGAGACCAATTTGGACATACCGAGCAGAAGTTTGGGATTTGGCAAAACAAACACAAATAAAATAAAAACAACGCGATCAAAAATTCTACGAAAAATTGTCAACGCACCTTGGTACATTTCAAATAACAATCTACATAACGACTTAATATCCCAACAGTAAAATCCTACATTCACGACAAGTGCACTTCATTTCCTTCTTCAACTCTAAATCACTTCAATCCATTAGTTATTTCTGTTTCCTGCTCTCTGTTACCTAATCGACGCAGACTAAAAAGAAAATGGCGAAAGGACCTATTCCTACAATAATAAAAAAATGAAGCTAACCAAGCAGCCATTGCCTATTACATCAAATTTACTAGGCGCCCTGCAACGCAGGTGCATATGACATAAGATGTTAAAATAAAGTATGTCTAGTTAATATTTAACTCTATTATAGAATCCTAAGTTATTAAACTCAAGTTATTTAAGGTTATGGCCATATGTTATAAGCTACTTGGTATATTTTTGCAGTATGCAATTTTTGACATCTCCCACAAAAGTTCAATAAAATAGTTTTTTAAAAAATTGCGATGATGCGTTTCAGTGAATTGTATACTTTTGATTTATCAAGTTACGAATACATTTTTAATATTTTCATTTAGTTCCTACAGAAATTTCACATACCTACAGAAAAACTTCCATGATAACGTTTTCGTTAAATAATATAAAAGTAAAAAGTATTAGTTTATAGTTATTTTTCATTTTCTACTCCTTTTTACGACTCTATGTATTATATATTATTTTGTCTAAGATCCTCAGTATCAAATTCATTTGTAGTTTACATTTATTCATTTTCATTACTACTTAATCTGCACTACTCTGGAAAAAAATCGATCTCTTTTTTTCCGCAGTATTTGAATATTTGATTTTTTAAATGGAAACAGCGATAAATATATGATTATCTTAATTTTTATGTTTAAAAAAATATTTTCTTTTTTACGTAATTTCTTAATTATAAAACTGATCAACTCGATACTGATTCTCACACTTTCCATGATGGCGTGGGATCGGAATTTGTCACAGGTTTTCCTTTTAAGTAATTACGAAAAGTAAAGATTATTCTTTCAGATGTCTGGTGGCTGAGGTGTGAAATCGGGGTAATTGGTCAGAATTCTAAAAAAGAATATGAAAAATTCTATTTACTAATGTTCGAAAATAAAGCAATTATTTTTAACAACGGAGATATTTCTTTAGGAAGGAAATTATGAAATGAAAAATTGTTATTATATTTATAAAATTCACATTATTTAAAATAATAAATATTAAAAGACCTTGGAATTTATTGTTTTTGTGTTTTATTGATGATCAGCATATACTGACTAATTGTGTTCGCCAGTTCCTCTAATGCTGTCCTTTCCTTTCTAAAGAAATAACTTCCACGGTCGTCTCTTTTTCTGTTTTTATTAAGGATCAAAGGAACCGATTTAGTCCAATTTATCATGAGGGTTTTATCCAACCCAAGTGTGTCCTTCAAAGGATACTTGGTTCTTGGCTTTTACTGGTTATTAAGGTCCATGGTTCTCAGTTCTTCTTTACTTAACTTAAATTTATCTTCTAAGTCTACCACTTGTGAAAATTGAGGGGCAGTAAAAGAATAACGATAATTAACTACTTTAAGCAGTTTCATTGAAATTTAAAGCTTAAGATATGGTTTAAGTCAATCGGTCATCTTATGCTTAGTTGTTGTGTAGATGCCTTGTTTTCATTCAGTAAAATATATTTTCTACATTCTGTCCTGAAAACAGGTATCGATGCATAAATATATTTGAAAAATTACGAAGTTACTTTGGGATTCAAACGTATGGTATATCTCTCAATATTGCTTCAAAAAAATCCGCTTCTTACGATTTTATTTTTTTCAAACATCAGAGAACGGTTCAAACCTTGTTTCAATTAAATTAATTTAAAAACAACAACAACAGAATAATTAACCTATGCGCTCCGATATTGAATTCAGTGACTTTATTCTGGTGGATAACATTTATAATTTTTAAATCAAATGCCCAATATTTCGTTTAGGCTTGAATATGGTTTTCATAGATCTAATTTAATTTTATATTCCTAACAAAACTTATTTCCCATGCGAATTATAATATATTCACTGGTAATAATTAACAGTGTTAATTATTTATGGAAACAAAATATATCT